ATGTATGGTACTATTTTTTCTTATACGGTATATATTCACATTATTATTTGTGAACTAAAATTATTAACAACTATTATTATAATTATTAAAACTATTATTTGTATATAATTTAAAGTCAAAAAGGTATTTCACATAATTCGTCTCAATAGATATAGCACGTAAATATATCTACGTTTATAATAAATTTAACTTGGATTTATTTATATGTGATTATTATTCGTATAATCAAGGTATAAGATACATTAAAATTGGATTATTTAAAGTTTGCAATACATATACACTATAAATATAATCGTTTATTTTTCGTGATAAAATTATAGTTCTTCGGCGTTAATCATAAGTTGATCATTGGTTGATCGAATTAATGTCAAAGTATTAGTGAGAATAAATTACATATAATATAATACGGTACATATAATTTATTAAAACTATACTATTGCAGTGAGTGTATAATATAGGCCTTAACAAAAAGAATAAATAATAATATTTCTTTAAATTTAATTTAAATATCTTTCTCATTATTCGATATAAGGTGAATGTTAAAATTATTTTTCGGCACTTTAAAATTTCATTTATGAGTATTTAAATGTCAAATACGAAGAATATTTTTGTTATCAATTTGATTTTTACCAAAAAAAAATCGTTTTCTCCACGTCTACTCGCAACATGTACACTTTCTCGATTTTTGCATTGTTGCCAATTTGCAGCTCATTAAAATTATGAGTTTATTTTAGTGAAAATTAAAGGTGGCGGCTCAAATGTAGCGGTCAAAAACTGTTTATAATTATTGTTATCGAAACGAAGTATAAAAATATCGTAAAACTAGATATTTAACTCCTTATACCAGTGATAATAATTCTCAATACCTACCTTAAGTCATTTAACCCTTCTTAGATATCCTATCTACGTTGATTAATGCGTTTAAAGATAAAATAGAATGCACTATTTAAAACTAAAATTATTTTACCTGTGCTGCACAATAACATAATACAATACGTTCAATATAAAAAATATATATAGAATATTTTCGTTCAAACCTTTATAGTTTTATTAATAAAACTAATACGTCTGTGGCTCTAAAATCTTTGGAATTAATCTGTGATCAAGAATTTTCAGTACAATAGTATAACGTGAATTCACAATGTACGCTAAGAGTCAATCTAAGTACATATTATTGTATCTATAATACATCGATACGCGAGAAACGTTTGGTAAACGGAGCAGAATGGGCACTGTCCGTCACCGGTGATCATATAAGGGTACTCGTGGTACGAAAAGCTTTTACGCGAGAGCACAAGGGATAAAAGTTTGGCGCCGGTTTGACGTGACGGTTTCACAAAAAAAAAAAAAAATAAATAAATATAACCCTCAAAAGGAGGAAATGTCTGTGGACGACTGTATGGGTGGTGTAGCTATTAAATAGGGACGATGCAGGTCATAGGAGAAAAATACGAGTTGGTATGCTGTTGGGCTGTTGAATAGGCGGCGAGTGGGCACAGTTAACCACATAGGAGGAAGGGATCAGATCGAGATTCGAGAACTAACAATAAACGAAATTGATATCTGCTCGCCCGTGACAGTTGATAAGTAGCGTGCTTTGCTGAAAACTCTAAATTATTGGTGTATTTTCGCGAAAACGCGTCCGAAAAATGAATTTTTATTATTATCGCAAAACGATCCATCGTCATCAAAGGCAACTGATACATCGATATCTTAAATCATGAGATTTATTATTATTATTATATTAACAGTACAATAATATAGTCTTTATTAACGTAAGGCCACTGCGTTCCTTCGTTTGTGTTTTATTTATATAAATCAAAATTATTTAAATTATAATTTGATATATTTATTTGTAAACGGTGATGAACATACATTTAAAAGTCACAAAAATATATTATTTTAATAATAATATTATGATTAAAAAGTAATAACGATATACTTTTTTCATAAAAATTATTGTATGTACAATTAGAAACTAAATTTATCACACTTTTTTTTTTGTAAATGAACTACTATAAATGAAAAAAAAATTTTTGTAATAGTTTTCCAAATAGGACTTAAGCCCACCCACGTCATTGTATTCATTCATACACGTGACATACCTTATCCGATATTATACAAATAATTATTATTATTAATTAAGTTAAAACAACTTAGACGTACAAAGAAGTCCACGGAAAACTGTATAGCAAAATGATCCTGGATTATTATACTCTTAACTAGGCTTTCGTCTGAGCTTTATGAATTGATATCAATAATAATAACCGCTATTTTTATAATTATAATCGATATTTTTATAATACATAAACGTGTTTGAAATATTAAATTAAAAATGTATGCAGTCAAGTTGCAAGATAACTAAAAAATCACAATTAAAAGTAGGTACTTTAAATATTTTACTATAAACTAATATATAGATTATAGGTATTATAACATACAAATCTTCCGAATATATTATAATATTGTTGTATAATAACTCGTCTATTGTATTAAATAATTAATATATGACGCTATAGCATGGCCTAATAATAGATTTTTAGAAATAATTAAAAACAATTCTAATAGAGCACATGAGTTAGGTCTCGTAAAAAAAAATATACACAAATTGCGTTTTAGATTTTTTGGGATGCAATTTGTGTATTCTAATCAAGGATTCTTAAACAACTAACAAAAATAAATAAATAAATAAAAATTATGTATATAATCAGTAATCAAAAGTCAATCAAAACATTGTTTATCAAATTTAATAGAAAACTTTATAAACGTTAAATCACATAAATATAATCAAAATCAAAGTAGTCTATAATAATATATATATTTATATATAAATAATAATAATAATAATGTTACCAATCAAAAATTTAGTCAAAAATTAAGTTTATACTTAGATAAGCATTTTAAGAAATCTAACCTTGCTATTTTACTTTCATTCAATTTTTCATTTGATTTTCAACAAATAAAATGTTATTTGAGCGTTGTATCCTATATTGACGTACAGAAATTAGCAACCTTTTAACTAACACTATACTGTGGTTCAAATAATTTTTAAAACATCTAAAAGTATATAAATATTTGGATGGTAACTATTGAAAATCTATTAAATTTTTTGTGAAAAGATTCGCATGCGTTTGCTATTTGCTGTAAACTTGAACTCTTTCTGCCCATATTGATGGAGGGAAAAGTGGTTCTTAGAAAATATAGTTATTAACTAAATAGTCAACATTATATCAGAGCCCGGGCTCCCTTATAATTAATACACCACGGAGAACCCTTAAAACGAAATAAAATTTCTGCTACATAACCAATATAATGAGACACAATTTATGTACCTATACCTTTTTCACGGGACACAACTGAGGTGTCCCGGTTAGTACAACTAGTACAAGTATATTTGTATAAAAAAATATTTTTAAAATAAATTAAATTTTCCATCCATTACTGTGTTGTCAAATAATGAATAAGCTATACATTAACTAAGTTACTTATATAGTTGCAATTTAATGAGATTGAATGTCTTCAATACTTTTTTCATAATCGATTTTTAAATCAGAAACCTTTTAATTTAATATGCAATTTGTGGTTATTTAATTAAACAATATTTGTTAAGAATTATTAAACTAATATGTACATTGCAAAGCCATATTATTAAATACACAACTATTGAAAGAGATGAGAAGGTTGAAGGTCTCAATGCTTAATATACAATCATAAGACTACCCATTTTAAAAATATGAGGCTTCACTATTTCAGTTTCTTCGTTGCAATTTTTCCTCTAGTTATACTTCTTCTGAAAATAGTTTTATGGTCGTTCATTAAAGGCAATCGGGGTCAAATTTATCATTATTTCATAGCGCATTAAGTCTATTACACTAAACTTCCTTTTATTTTTGTGCATTTAATTTATCGATGTATATTGATATCTAACACTTCAATTAATAAATAAGATATAAAATGTATACATTTCCAGAATTGTTATTTTATTCAAAAGTCTAAACCATTTAAATACGTACTTCAGTAGTAATCATTACATTTTTTTTTTGATAATAAATAATATATACAACGTCCAGTTGTCTGGTCTACTGTTATTATATTGTATTATTGGTATTAGCTCAGAAACCATATATTTTATATTTTGTATGTAATATAATTTATAATATATTATATTTTTAAGCTATTATTAATATTTTATAATTGTTAATTATAAAATAAAAGTTTTTGTTTATTTTATTATTTATTCAGAACTATCGTATACTGATATCTAAGAATTAAAAAAAATACTTTTCACTTAACATAAAATTATCAAAAAATAAAATATATTCACAGTGTATAATATTTATCTAAGATTTATTAAACCCGTGGAACAAATTAATATTGTGAAAATTATTTAAAAAAGTATATGTAAGACATATTATTCATGTACGTATATGATTGTGTGCATTAAAATAAATGTTTAGATCTGAATAACTAAAAAATAAAAATAAACTATTGAACAATAATAATATATAAACTTATAAATATACTTTGAAAAATGATGAATTTTACTATGTTAACCTATAAATCGTTATTAATAGAAAAATTGGACTTTTTCAGGCCACAAAACAATCAATATACAATAAAATCAAATTTTTTATATATTTTAACAATACCTACTTGTACCAGTAAATTTCACTTAGCTATAACTAATTATTTTTTATTAGACTTTAATGTATGTTATTAAAATGAAAAAAAAGACAGTTTGATGTACATAAAGCTATATAAACCTATTTGTAGCCTCGTATGACCGATGGAAACTATTGAAATTCGGATTGTGGTTTCCTGGTAGGTGATGTACCTACGGTATTCTGAACCCGCATGCTAGTTGTTACGACAAAAGTGTGATTGAAGCATTGCAGATATCCACACGCAAAACCCGACTAGGATGTAATATCGACCACCACCATTGCGTCGAAATTTGTAGTACAAATATTAGAACGTCTAATAGATACTACATCCAGTGGCGTAAACTGGGGGTCGCACGGGGTCGCACTTGCAACCCCTGAAAATATCATAGGGTCGCAAGAGTATCTTTTTGCGACTCCAAAAAATTACGATTTCAATTATCAAAAAATTGAAATATCAATATAATAATAAACTAACTAATTTATATTTTGAGAACCAATGTTTAACGTTGTCTTGAAGCACTGGAATTATTATTATACTATATCCTTTCCACATTTATTTATAGTTTTGTTATTAATAATTTTCTATTATTATACCAATATGTATATTTATTGTGATCGGCCGACTCGAGTCTCAATGGTAGCTGATAATGAAAACGTGTTTCATAGTTTAAAATTACTATTTGTTTGTTTTATTCATGAATTTAATTTTTACACTTGTTATTTCTTATTCGTGATCGACTTAAAATTAAGTACTTACTACAATGGACAAATTTCTTATAAAAGTATCGAAGTCAAAAGTAAGTGTCTATTTTTACTTTAAATTCATATAATTGTTTAGTCTTTAGTACACATATTTAGTATACATTAAGTTAAGAGTAGCCATTAAAATATATTACTGATTTATATTATATTAAAACTACAATTTTGATGAATAAAACAGTTTATTTTTGATCTGTAATTTAATTTTTATATTAATTATTAAGGTAATATTATATTATTGGGAAAATTAAATTTATTTTGCTATATATTTTTTTATTATTTTGATTCTAATAAATTGTTGTACCTGCTTATTAGAAAAATACTAATGCTGAGAAAAATGTTAACTTACCTGAAGAAAACCACCTTTCCCCAGAAAAAAGATCAAAAATGGTAAATACAGTTAATACTTAATTTCATATCATATCTTTAGTATTCATTTACAATTTATTAAAATTAAATTTATATTAATTTAATATCATTTAATATTTAAGGATATTTTGGTTAACAGTAAACACTTTACCTTAATAAATTTAAAGTGAAAATTCTGTAACTAGTTACCTACGTTAAATAAATAATAGTAAATGTATTGGTTATTTTGTGTAGTATAAAAGTGATAAATATGTATATAAATCATGTTTGTATTAATTTCATTGATCATTTTAGGATATTCTACCAAATACCAAGGACATAAATCAAATTCAGAATGCTATATCTAGCCATGTAGGTACATCAAAGTCAGATCAAACTACAAATACACTATTGGTAAATATAAAATATTGCATTCAATTTTAATCTTTAAACCAATGATAAAAGTTTTGAATTTTAAATAGTATGTACATGCAATCACAAAACATAAAACAAGTATTGAAATAATTATAATTTCAATTTGTAGAATTTTAAATGTTGTACAAAATAGTCAATATTCACTCATTTTTATACTCTTTAATAAATTGAATAATTGTATATGGTATTTGTTAAAATTTATTTTAATTTCAAGTATATATATTTATCTAGATAAGTGACAATCTTAATCGAGATCCTGGTCATAAGAATACAAATGCTTTAATTTTATTTTCAAGTGGGTTTGGACCGTATCAACCAAATAACATTATATTTCCACAGCATTTAGGAAGAAAATTTCGAACAGAGTGGTATACTTCTTTTCCTTGGATAGAATATAGTCCTAGCAGTAACTCTGCATATTGTTTTTACTGTCGTGTTTTTCCATCTAAAACATCAGATCCAACTTTTGTTAGTGTTGGATTCAAGCAATGGTCAAAAGCTAGTTTCAAGTCTTTTCCTCAGCATGAAAAATCATTTGGACACAAAGAAGCTAGTGCCAAATTAGCTGGTTATAAAAATTCTAAGAAATCTGGGAGTATAATTAGCAAAATTAATACACACCATCAGCAGATAGTAGCTGATAATCGAGCCTATTTAAAATGTATTTTAGACAGTTTACTTTTTTGTGCTCGTCAAGGAATAGCTATCAGAGGTCATAGAGAAGACGAAGACTCTTCAAACAAAGGAAACTTTCTAGAACTATTAACACTTCGTGCTAAAGATAATGATATTATTCAACGATATTTTATTGAAAAAGAAAAGACATTTCGTTATGTCAGTGGTGATTACACCAATACATTTCTTGAGTATTTAGCTAATATTGTTATTGAAAATATAATTGATAATGTAATAGCTGCGGGTATTTTCAGTATAATAGTTGACGAAACTCAAGATTTGTCTCGACATGAACAAGTCGCAATTATTATAAGATACGCAACAAAAGATTTATCTCCAGCAGAAGTTTTTCTTGGTTTTTATAAAACAGAAAATACAGATGGAGAAACACTTTCAATGTTAATAAAATCAACTCTTGTATCTCATGGTTTAAAAATAGAAAACTTGAGAGGGCAGTGTTACGACGGTGCAGCGTCAATGAGAGGGTCGTATAAAGGGGTACAAGCAAGAATTAAAGAAGAAAATCATTTAGCAATGTACATTCACTGTAATGCACATATTTTAAATTTATGCCTTATAGATTTGGCTAAACAAGTATCTTATGTAAGAAATGTATTTGGAACATTAAATACATTACATAATTTTATTGGTGCATCATCCAAGAGGCATGCAATTTTTGAAAAAATGTATTCAGTTTTAAATATAAGTACATGTGAAGGACCTAAAACTTTAAAAAGTCTCAGTGATACTAGGTGGAGTTGCCGACTAGATGCCCTCAAGGCGGTTTTATTCAATTTTCAAACTGTGGTTAGTACATTAGAAGATATTTCGGAAAATGATGCTGTTTATGGATCTGATGCTAATGCATTACTAAAGTCAATAAATACTTTTGAATTTTTATTTTGTATATACTTTCTTAAAAAGATACTGTTGTTAACTAATATTTTATCAAAGTATTTACAATCAAGTTCAATAATTTATAGTAATGTACAGTCAATGGCAAAAGAAACAATACAAGAATTATGCAATATGCGGTGTGAAGAAAGTTTTAATAACACTTGGAATGAAGTAGACATTTTAAGAAAACAATATAATGTTTCTTCTCCTATACTTCCCAGAAAGCAAAAAATACCAGCTAAACTTGGCGGTGGATTGAAGGAGGTTGAAAATACTACCATAAATAAACATTATAAAATAAATATATATTTTGCTGTTCTGGATAATATTATAAATGACATGAGTGAAAGGTTTGAAGAAAATAATTTATATATTTTAAACTGTATGCAAGACATACTCTTAAATGATACTCCAAATAATAATTCTTTTAAAGAAATAAATAAAATGTATGGTTTTGATGAGGATAATCTTAAAGCAGAAACAAAAATTTTAAATAGGATGTATAAAGCTGTACATAATCAAAGTAATGTGCAATCAAAAATCAATTTCATTGCATCAGAAAATTATAAAGCTGGATTTCCAACATTAACAAGTTTGATACAATTATTTATTACTATACCAACTAACTCCGCATCATGCGAAAGAAGTTTTTCTTGTTTACGTAGGTTAAAAACATATTTAAGAACCACAATGGGACAATCAAGATTAAACAGTCTTGGAATCTTGCAAATTGAACGTGAAAGATCATCTCTTATAGATAAAGATTTAGTAATAGAAAAATTCAGTGCTGCCGCAGAATGTAGAGGCCGCCGATTACTACTGCAGTAAATGATATTATTCCCTCAGTAAAAAACCAACTAATATTTTAAATCTACCTATAATGTATATATATATATTATATTGTATTAGGTATTATATTACACAAAAAATATAAATGGCAGCTGTTATTAAAATATAAATTTTATAAAATAAAAAAATTGTTTTTTTTTAATGTACTCATATATTGTTTAAGAAAATTATAAATATTTTATTGACAGTAAGTAATTATATACCCTATTTATAGCGTATATTCATAATACTAATTGCCAATAGATACAATATGTGTTTAAGGTTAAAATAGTTTTGTTGAATTTATGTACTTGTAATGTTAAATCTAGAATAAAATAAAATATTTTAGGGGGGTGTGGGGGGCAAAGCCCCCCCACAAGTCTGTCTAACCTAGAAACTGATTGCAACCCTAACAATTTAGCCCAATTTACGCCACTGACTACATCCCCTGTGATGCACTTCCTACTCCTCATTTAATACGGTACACTTTGCATATTTCCCATTGACCTGTAAAATATTGCACCTGACATACTATACGCAGCAGATCTCCCGACATGACTGAGGTTTATATTTCAATCGTATTATAACAGCAACGCGCAACTGTTCGTAGGAAGCTGCTATGTTAAAACACACAGAATGTTCATAATAATAATAATTCGTATGGCAAAATATTTGATAAAAATTATAATTTTTATTTGTTCTATACCGTGAGAATATAAAATTTATGTTAACAATTTTAATTCAATTTTAGAAGTAAATAAATTATTTCTCTGAAAACAACTTCAATTATTTTGTAATAATAATTGAATAATTAATGCAATACAACCATTAAATAATATTAATCATATCTTAAAATGATTATGAAATCATTTGTGTATATAAAGTAATATCAATCCCAAATCTCACTTAAATTACTCTTTATGACCGATTGCCTTATTAACTTAATTTTGTAAACTATTCGAACATATCACCCTCTAAAACACACTTGACTGGTGGTTATAGGTATTAACTTAACTCTACCTTATAACTATTGTATGTATTTAGATAAGTTATTAGTACTTCTGACTGCTTTACAAACTTTATTGGTACAATTGATCAATCTTTCAACAACAGAGAATATCTTGTTGCTACTTCCATAATAGATTAATATAGTGATGCCTTGGTAGATGTTTCACCAATACAGGTTTACATCAAAGAAGCTGACTGAGCTTTATCCTCTTTAATATTAATATATCGTACTTTATGACTATATAATTCACTATCTTCACCATTATTACCACAACACACCCATATATTATCCCTTTTTGAATTTTCCACCATCCTTTGTTATTATTCTACATATATTCTCTACCCAACAAAAAAAAAAAAAAAATAATAGTTTCCTTATAATTCATTAACTACATATGCTACATATATAAATTGATTGTGTTTAAGTATATATTAATGTTATAACGTTGTAAATTTTAATTTAATAGTTAAACATTCAAAACTAATAAAATTACAAGATTTGAATTTAAAAAATATATATATTAGGCTATTTACAACAATTTAAATTGTAATTAAAAAACTTCACGTGTATGCATAAACAGTACATTATGCATTCATCAATATTATATATCCTGTAATAATTTAATTAAATATTACAAATAAATCTAAAAAAATAATTATTACTAATTTATAATACTACCTTTACTATATTGATACTTTATAATCATAATTTACTTGCAGCTCTTCATAATTAACTTTATAATATCGAAATTTTCTATGAATTTTATAAAAGTTTAACTAAAGCTGCTTGTTATAAGGTGAAAGTTATTGTTATTTAAAATTCCAATTTATTGAATTCATCGAATAAAAACAATGGGTTATTGGATAAAATCCAATTTTAATTATATTTCTATATTTAAAATGCAAATATAATTATATTTAAATAGAAATAAAAGTTATAAGTATTTCAGTTCCACACTACTAATTTTATTCTGCAATTTAAAAACAAATACATTTTACTGTAATTTTAAGTTTTTTGGGATTAATTGTATAATGTATAACATAATTAACTTTTTACAATTATAAGTTATAATTAATCTTTTTTTAATGTATTTAATGTCAATACATTCCAATATATAAATTTAAAAAATAAGAAGTAAGAACTATCTAGTATTATGCATATTAACGAATAATGCATACTCGTAAGATATTTATTTATATTTTAAACATAAAATGTATAGACAAATTTGTTCAGCTAAAAACTAATAAGTAAACAAATATGTACCTAATTATATTTTTAAATAATTTATTATTGATTTTAATATTATAAATACTAACAATACAATTATTTTATTGTTAATACAATATTATTTAGGTACGTTTTGTTTAATTTTAATCATATTTATTATTTACCCAGGATTTGTGTTTGTATGAATATTTTATTATTATTTTTTTTTCAATTACATTATGAAATAAACATCGATTGAAATCATATTAACAGTGATTCATTCATAAATTACACATGAATAAATGCTTGTCATATTCCACGTCCAATATATAATGTCAATAAAATTCGTTGTTAAATATTAGATTACATATATATAGTTTTCTTTTTTTAAATCCTATTCCACTTGATCACGTTGACGTTGTCATTTAAAATAAATGTCTTTGTATACTAAAATAAACATTCAAAATTGATTAATTAACGACTTGAAACAAACAATTTATGTAGAAATTATTTTATCGAGAACCACAAACAACGGCTTAGAGATCATTTCGAACAAAATAACCAGCATGCTGAAAAACATAAAATATATTAATCTAAAAAAATGAAACTAATGTTTTCAAATTAAATTTACTTAGTTATTTATAATTATTGTTATATAAAATATATTATATTTAAATTTAAGGATTGTGATTTCCGTGGTAAGTTTTATTCTTAATTTAGCCGAAACCTTATTAATGAAAAAATATTAGTTAAGTTAACAAATAGTCCAATCGCATAGCCAATATTATTTTTGCATATCCATATTTTAAAAATAGCCCAATTATTGGTTTAAGAAACTTTTCGTTCAAATAATATCTTTAGAAGTAATTAAATATCCTGAGATGTAAATTGATTATAGTTTTTTTAAAACATTATTGAGAGTAACTTATCCATGATTAAAGTATTATTAAAAAAAAAAAAAACTCTTTCTTTTGATGTATAAAAAAGTTTGCTTTAATTTTTTAAACTAATAATAAATTACTATTAAATATAGCGTTTTATTTCATTGCCATTACTCAGAAATTGTAATTTCAGAGAAAAATATACTATATAACTTTTTTTTTTTTTAAACACTTGTTGTCGATTCTTTTCTTAGTTTTTATTTTCATAACTTAATCAAAAACTTAGACGTTATAAAACTGAATATACATTGTTTGATATGCAATTTTTATATGAGATATATAAATTTATTTTTAAAATCAATATTTTAATGAGATTGACTTGTATGAAATTAAAATAAGTCTAGTTTGAACTTTGAACGCACATTTTAATGTTTCAAAAACAACTCGTTTGATTTTTTACATAGATAAATAGTTAAATAAAACAGTATTAAAAAAAATCTTTTGTTTAAAAACTTAATTAAAAAAGATTAGTGCTCAAATGAAAATAAAATAAAAATATATTTTCAAGTGACACTCTTCAAACAGGATAGAAAAAGTAAGTATTAAAAAAAATAGTCCTTAAATATACTTAAAAATTATAAAAATTATATAATTTAAACTGAAGGATAAAAAAGTAAGTGAGCATGGTTGACGAACCATTCAGTATATTGATCATCATATATAAATAAATTCAATCAATGTATTGTGATAAATTATAATATATACTAAATCTGTGAAATTATATTAAAATACTTGACAATAGTTTATTATGTAGGATATGAATAAAATTCAGCTTGGTGAAATAAAAAACTACCTAAATATTACTGTTAAACATAATAACTCATACATATGCATACAACATAATAATACACTTTAATTGACCGTAGCAACAATCGATATATTTGCATAGAATTTATTTTTATACTATATTTTTGAATAAAAAAGTTCAGTATATTTATATGGTACAGCATTAAAAAACTGCGTAGCATTTTTGTTAACGATGATTACATGTATATATATATAAAAAAAAAAAAAATGACGAATAATTGAATATTATATATTGACAACTTTACAAAAGCGATTTTATGTAAATAGTGATTTTATTTTACCATACACATTCTGATCCAAATGGGTTGCAATTTTTCAATGTGGTCGAATGAATTACAAGCTAGCGAGTAGCGACCAACGATTTCGTTTCGAGCCGGTTGTATGCACGCGTTTAATCGTGTGGGACTATAGTTTTATTATTATTATTATTATTATTATTTTGACATGTATCACTGGTCACGAGAGCGGTATAAGAAACGGCTTATAAAATATTATTGCAATGGCTTTTATTTTTCGTTTAACGCAACCGTACGTCGATATACGTCGCGATACAAGACTATACTTTTTAATGGCGCATAACGCGCGTGACGTGCAAAACTGTCGGAAAAACTACGACCACGATTAAATAAGAACTGGAGATGATCTACAGTACCACGCACGGTTAAACAGTGGAATGCCGTGTGTCGAATTCCAGAACGGAACACATCTAAGGCGAACTTATTTACGTTTATCCGCAATACCTCGGCGTACACGCGTGTTATAATTATATAGGTGCGGTAAAAGTGCTATATTTTGGATTTAAACGGCACGCCGCCAATGTAGTAGATACCTACAGCTACTATTAGATACGGAAACACTGATCGGTATGTACGGTATGAGAACCGACAAAGGTGCATACCACAGCGTGTATATGGTGGGTATATACGAGTCATTTCAGCTCGTCAATATAAAATAATACATGGGCACCTAGACCAGTAGTTTTGAAATTGTAGTCCGAGTTCCCCCCCCCCCCCCCCCCCAACACCCGGGAGTTATCGAAATAATCGTGCCCGCGATCCACGATTCCATCAAGTAAATAATGCTTTGATAGTTTTAAATCCATTTCCCGCA